TTTTGTAATGGTTGTGTATTATATTTCTGTTGCTTACAACTGTCACCACAAGGACAGAATCATTTTGAATGTGACCAGGCAGCTGTCTCTGTGAAGCCTATAGATAGCAGCTTCCTTGTGTACCACATTTTCAGCTCCTTCAAACAGATTTATCAAGCATCTTTACTGTCTCAACACTGCCAGCTCAAATGACTTCTCAAGGAGCTTTGGTTATGCAATCTTTTAAAAGGTGCATTGTTTTTTCCGTTTGTTTCTTTTTTTGTGTGTGTGTCCTGGGTTTTTTTTAGTAACTCACTGCAGCAGCTAGAATCTAGTGCAGGGTTTCACCATGTGTTGGGAAAAAACCCATACTCCATTTGTCCACCGTGACCAGGCTTTAAATAAGCATCAAAACTTTCACCAGCTGTGCAAAGCAGCAGAACAGCACGGGTCAGAGCGGAGCGGTGAGCTTGCAGGAAAGCGCGCTGCTTTGTGAGTAAGGAGAGGAGAACCTGCAGAGACAGGAGCTGGAAATAGCATTCGCTTGGCATAATTAGAAGATCCATCCGTATCATTTTGGGGTCTAAGGGCTGCTTAACGGGATATTCCTCTCTGAGTCCTGTCTGACTTACAGGAGTTAGGAGACAAACAGCAGCCCCTCAGCTGGCACCCTGTCTTTCTGGATGGCCACTGAAGCAGGAGGCAGCTGAAGGGAGGGCTGGGTAAACAGCCAAAGGATCTTCCCAAAGAATTTCTCTGCTCATTACTTTGCAGTTCACAGCATGGGAACTTTCAGTAATAAAGACTTTAAAGGCTTCTTCAAAGAGCTTCCAGGCTGTATCAGAAGCTCCATCTGGAAGAAGTCTCATGAGACCTTGGTGTGTTTTGTAAATACAGGCTGGGGACAAATGAGGTTTTTCTTAAATTGAATCTCGCAAAACTTGCTTTCTAAGAAGAACTCGGGACAGGCCCCATTAACACAGGAGTGTTTACCAAACTGCGTCCCTAGTCTAATGCGTTTTGGAAAGAGGGCAGTTAGCTTGTCATCCCTACAGAGTCTTTTACCAGCACAGTAAATTATAGACCTTATGGGAATGTGCTGTACTTGGTTCTTTTCAGGTCATGCTCTTGGACTTGCACTGCTGTGTGAAACTATATACGATGCTTTATGCTCTTTGCTTGTGGATTTGTTTTGTGTTTCAGCAGACTGAATAGCATTTCTATTTAAATCGTGTTTCATTCTAACTAAAACAATTGCTGTTCTGTGGTGTCAGGGGATTCTTGAGGTAACAGGAACACTGTATGTTTTGTGATTTACTGGCCGTTTTGGCCTTTGAAAGGCACCAGTACGTTTCGGTCCATTTTTCCTGCTTTGTTTGGGTTAGTGATGCCTCATCAGTTACACCAGACCATGACAGCGTTAAGCGTTTTCAGCACTGGTGGCACTCGATTATGTATTTTGGTCAGGGGCAGTAATGTGCCCATAGCATCATTTTCCCATCAGCACTGCTAATGCTCCAGGAACACCAGCATTACCGATTTTTAGGAACTTGATGTCTGTCTTTTGTGGTTTTCCCCTTTTGAGCTGCATCAACTTTTCTAAGAATGCGTTTACATCATGCAGTTGTTTATGACCGTGAGTTAGCTGCCTGCATCAGACTAAACCTGCCTGTCTAGAGCTGTTTGCCTGTGTGCTCCACTTAGCACTTCTGGCAGCGTATGAGAACAGAGAATATGGAGTGAGAAAAGAGTATGAAAGCTCCATAAATCTTGTGTACATTGAAAGTATCTCCCACTATCAACTTGGTATTTTTCCCTTCAGTTGTGCTCTTATCTAGCAATCTCAGAGTATTTTACAAAATGAATTAAGCCTTCTACAGCCTCGCTCCGCTCCCTCAGGAAATCAGAGGTCTGAGTGGTGAAGTGGCTCGTCCAAGGTCAGCTGCTGAATTAGTGGCATGGCTATGAATAGACGTAGGCATTCTAGCTTTCAGCCCTCTGCTAAACAAGATTGTGCCCTCCCAGTTTCAGTTTGTCATAAGTTAATGACTAATAACTTTTGAGCAACTAGAATGTGGCAGAAGAATTTATTTTTGGCAGCCAACAGGTAATCCTTAGTTACACCAGCAGCAGGACGCAGTGCAGCTCCCATGTCCCCATGGATCCTGCCTGCCAGTTCTTGTTTTGTGCAAGATCTGTGAGGACAGGCGAGGACTACCAGCATGGGGAAGTCTGATCATTCGAGTGTGGGTCGTTGGTGTTTTGTGGGGTGCTGTAGCTGCTCACCTGAATGTTCACTTTTGTGATAAAAACAAAGGTCCTGGACCTGATTCTTCATTTGTCTTGGTGTAGCAGTAATGAAGTGTCCTGAGAGTGGTTTGACTTCAACGTCTAATCTACTTTAAAAGAAGTAATAAAAACTCAAGTGCAGTCTGTTGTTCCTTGAAGGGGAGAAGTAATTCAACTAAACTCCTCTCAGGAGCCAAGTAAGAGAAGTAAATTTTGAGTTGTGCTAATCAGGAAGAGGAAGTCATCTGTCTGCATCTGGTCACTTCCCTGCTTACATGGCGTGGTCCTGTAACGGCTACATAAGAAGCTTTGTGATGAACAAATGTCAAGGGCAATTAATTCCTTGGCAGGCAGCTGTTATTATTAGGACAAGAGCGGACAGACATAGAAGGAAAGCCTTCAGCTGATTTATTTTCTCTACCTTTTCTATCAAAATTGATAAGTCACTCAAACCCCAATGGTGAACTTTCATGCAATAAGAATTTTTAAATTGCCATCTCTTTTTTTTTAGTAGGAGACCTTCTATTAGATTTAGAGCCCAGAGGAATACCTCAGAGAAAACGTTTGGAAAGTCTTCACCACTTTAATGCTATCAGGAAGGAGCAGAGTTGTGTGTTCAGCTGGTAACGTAATAATACGTGGGCTGAGTTAAACCCACTTCAGACTGTTTTTCTCAAACTTAATTGATGGAAACGGACCACTTTTAGGCTTGATTTATTACCTTAGCAGAGTTATTCCAGGACTGCTGCAATGCAACTGTGGGTGTTCTAAACACACCCACGCTGCCAGAGAATCAGGAAGGATGTACTTAAAATCCTCTAATTTATCTAATAACATCTTTAGCGGCTTTTTGTGTAGGTTTAGTATTGTAATGGAAATGCACTCTCTGGCTAGATAAAGAACTCCTGTGTGGAACTGCTAGCGCGGGCTGTAAATAGCACTTGGAGCTGATTGGGGAAATGCTCTGACCAGCGACGTACGCTGTAATTGCACCTTTCAATTTTGTAATCTGTCACTACAGTTAGAATAATATCTAAAATTTCAGATACAAATGCTCATGACTCTGGGTCTTCATAGATGTGGCCTTCCCACCTTCCAAGCTCAGGCAGAGCAGAGGTTACTCGTGTCAGGGGTATTTTTTTTCTCTGCTGTTTAGGTTCTGAGTCTCTATTTTAGCCACTGTTGTTGCCTCAGTTCTTAACCAGGTTCCCTCTTTGCCCATCAGTGGATGTTCCTGAGGGGCTGGTTTGACACAGAACAAGTTTGGTTTTCCTAAACAGTTTCAGCACTGAGCTGCTGGGGGTAAGCCTTGGACTGGGCAAGAAGCTCAGATTCCTGCAGGTGCTAGCACAGCCTGTTACGTCCGTGTCCAAAGCGAGCCCTGTCTGGCTTGTGTTCGTAAATGCTTTCGGCTGTGCGTTATTTAGGCTGAACCTTAATCTTTCTCTGCGTTTTTTTCAGAACACTGTCCTCGCAGTGCTGCTAGCTGGTGGCATAATTATTCTATCCCAGGCATCACAATCTCTTGCTCTTGTTGTTAACACAGGAATTGCACGTGACAGGAACGGTAACCAGTATCGCCACTCTGGAGTACCAGAGCTAATAATAGAAATGAAAAACCTGCTCTTTGTAAGATAAAGGGGGACAAGGCGAGGTGGAAAATCAGCTTCTACACGTGCCAGAAGTAAGGGAGGTCCCGGTGTGTTTTCCTCTTGCTGATTACTCTTACCACCGGGCATTGCTGTATGTAAATAGGATCAGAGTTCCTGTGTTGTGCTGGGAAGGGCCAGTCCTAAGACAGCTGATTTCCTCCAGCAGTCGTGCTTCATTAGCGCGCGCGGTGCTGAGGCTTGGAGGTGCTGCGTGAGCAGAATACTCAGCTGCTCGTTCTAGGAAATACTCTTACTGATGGCGCAGTGAGGCGGTACGGGTGGCTTTCTGCGTAACTTCAAGGGTCAGAGCTTGTCTGATGACGATGTGTCACTTGGACAAAGCTATTTATTGCCAATCTTACATTTAAATGATTTGCAGATATGTTGAATAGTAAATAATGAGGGTCGGAGGACTTATTTGTGTACGTTTTCTAAATCTGTTACATAATCTTACTGTTTGTAGCAGCATTTTGTATCAAGAAACTGGAAAAATTTATGGTGAAATGGCTTTTTGAAAAACCCCAAGTGTAGCGAATCTGATTTTTTTTTTTTAAATTATTATTTTTTATTTTTTTTCCTTCTGGAGTTCAGATTCTGCTGCTGAAGCTGCGGCATGTGGGCCAGTTTAGGATGGCAGTTGGCTTTCCTGGGCAGTGAACCAAATGCGAATGCCAGTGACAGTCGCCATGTGCTTCTCAGGCTCCAGAACGATGTCTGATGAGTCCGCTTTTGTGTGGAGGATTTTCTCTGCTCTGGATCTGGTTGGACTGATGCTTCTAGGCTAATGCCCCCTCCCCAACTGTGCTAAAAGCACATGAACAGATTTACTGGGCCTAAGCAGAGGAAATAGGTTAAGGAGGTGTACGTGCTCATTGCCTGCTCCCTGCGCTAGCTGACGCGTAATTCCGTTGTTGATGGACGGTTTCTGAGACTGAAATCAGCTCATATGTCTCTGCGTAAGACATGGCAGACGTGTCTTATGGAGGAGATTGCTACCCCTGATGATAACTACGGAAACTGGAAGTTTCAGGCTGTGTCAGCAAGAGACACCTGGAGAAGTTAAGGCAGACCAATGGGAAATACAAAGTCATGTATAAATTAAGAGGTATTAAACGCTTCTTGAATGACAGAATGTACATTAAAGTGGCCTTGGTTTGCTATAGATTAATTAACCTTGGGAGATATCAGGCTTAATTAAGCTGCAGTGTGTTAAAGCCACTTTACTCTTGATAGAGATCATTCATGAGGGAGCTTTTTAACCTTATACACATCAACTTCATACCCACTGTGGGTTTGCCTTAACTTTCAGTGTCCCTTGGTGAGGTTTCGGACACTTCAAAATCTGAGGACTTCTCTTATCCTTTGGAATCCTGACTCCAAACTCTTAGGAGAAGCTGGACAGAACGGGCTAAAGATAGAAGTGTGTAATGCACATGTAGAAAATGTAAGCTAAGCAAGGGTTGCATGACAGACCCTGCAGAGGGGTTCAAGTCTAGGCTTGCAAAGCATTGAAGGAGCTGTTATGAAATGGAACATTAACACTTAAGAAACGGGGAACATAAGAGTGAAACAGAGTTACTAAAATACATATGGTGAGTTTGAGGTCTTGCTGCAGGGTTGTGGTGCTGTCTGGCAAAGAAGAGTTAGAAGTTTCACAAATCTTGGTTCAAATTCCTGTTTGTTTACAGACAAATATTGTTATGTATTTCCCTGACTGCAAGTTACCTTGCTAAATCAGATTAAAATACCTTTTTTGTGGTTTTCTTTTGTGTTTTTTCTTTTCCAGTAATTGCCCTTCATTTCTGGCTGCTGCTTTAGCTAGAGCAACTTCAGATGAAGTCCTTCAGAGTGATCTTTCAGTACTCTACTTACCAAAGCATGTGGACAACGCAGATGGGATCATACGTAAGTACATCTGCGCGTGACAATGTACAATTTTACATGGTGTGGATCTTTAATTTACACTGTATACTGGAACTTTGCAGATAAATCATAGATTTTTAAAGTCAGCATTGACTTCAGTGATCTATCTGGTCTGACCAATTGAATGGTACTAGATTTTCCTCAAATTAATTCCTTTTACCAGCTAGCTAAACGAAGTTGGACTAGATTTCTTGTAAAGGAATATCCCATATTGATGTAAAAAGATGAATGGAGAATAGACCACTACTGCTGACAGAGCTAGTGGCTAATTTCTTAGTCAAAGCTTTCTTGTCTTTGAATCTCGTCCAGTTTCAACTTTTACTATTGAATTCTTTCTCTTTTTTAAATGTCTTTCTCTGGCTGTACTTGTACTTTATCAAATTTTTTCTCCTTAAGACCAGGTGGAAATCACTCTTTTAAGTGCACCTTCATCAGACTGTATCTGTGGCCCTGAATTTCCTCATAAGCACTTTATAAGGACTACGTGGTCCTGCTGCTTGCTGGCAAGTGCCAGTTGTCCTCCTTCATCCCAAAGTCAAATGGATGTGGGAAAAGAGAAAATAATTCTGAATTATTTCAATCAGTGTAGCATTTACTATGGCTTTTCTTTTTTTTTGTATAGTTTTAGCAAGGGATGGTATAAAAATATTTCATGGAGAAAAGCAAATTTCCCTTTTGAGCATTTATCTGTGTTGGCTAACAAGGTTTTCACAACATCCAGCTCAAAGCCATGCACCCTAAATTGTTTCAGGACCCTGCTGACCTAAATAACCATGAAAAACTTTCTGGGGCGCTCATTACAATGAAGAATAATGTTTCTTGCATGTATTGAGAGGCATTCTGTCATTTGATCTTGAAAACACAGTTACTTTGTCTATTCCCTCCTTTCTTGATTAAAAAAATAAATAAATGACGCAGGGGATAAGTAGGATATATAAATCTGGCTCTTCAAAAAGGAAGATTCTGCTGTATTTCTCAGAGGCCTTTGGAAACCTGAGTAAACCGTGCTATGGGTTCCC